TAGTGAAGAAGCCAGGTTTTGTTTCAGTTAATGGAACATGCACCATTAGCTGTTGACAGAATCTGGGATCACGCAGGGACAGAACTAACTAAATCTCCTCTGCCTCAATTATGCATCAGAGACTTTGGAAAAACTAGTGCTGCCTCTCATCAGGACCTTTTAAATATACTACAGTGAACTGTGTGACAATCTACAGTTTGACTCTGGTTAAATAGCCTAGTTTTATGTAAAGTTTCATAATCATTTCCGGGAGAAAATATCATAAAACTGGTTTCACTTTATGTAATTTTGTAACTGAATGTGAACTGAACGTGTGCCAAGGGCATTAGTTTACCACAGAAGCACCCATACTTCCTATTGAGTCACTGACTTAATCCCCGTAAGCTCAGGTCTTTCTGGAAAATGTATTCAGGTTGCTAAACTAATAACATGAACAATGCTTGTGAAAGGAGAAGGTAATTTAGCCTGAAGGAGTATGGTATAGAACGGAAGCAGGCTGCCTTATCTACTCATTTGAAGGTAAGTACTGAGTTACATTTACTTGAGTTAGCATGGTTATGCAACAGCACCTTGTACATACAGTATTTGATTGTCATGACTAGTTTCATTTGAGCTGTTTGAAGTTTTTATTGGTGACTGATGATTGCTGTGATTTTAAATCCTACTTGAAGGAGGCAGCATGGTGCATGCACTACCAGAATTTTGTGGCGCTAATTCATTATTGTTACCCTTTTTCTAGGGAAATGTTCATCATTGTAGTTAGGCTTATTGACATCTGGTGGATGTTTACAGAACCAGGAACTAAGATTTTCAAAATGTTTTTCTGATGAGGTTTGATTCATTTGTTAATGTTTGTGGTAGAGTTTGGTCTCATCTTAGAAACTGGAAACTTTGCTTTATGAGGCTACTCCAGACCAATTCCCCAGCCAGCAAGGCTTCTAGGAAGCAGTCTAGAGTGATTAAAGGGGAAGAAACATGATGACAGTTATCTAGTTAGCCCCTATCGTTAGTCACATCTAAACCAAGAGCATCTTAAGAACTTTTTATGCACAGTTCCTCCCCTTTATTTGAAAGTAATTTATAAATATTGTAGAAAAATTAAAATATATACAAAGATAATGAACAGGAAATGTCTTGTAATTCTATATCAAAGAACCATAAGACATCATGCTGTACATCTACATTGTTAATAATTTCATGACCCTTTACATTCATGATCACCTAACCTTTATGATAGTCCACACCACAATTTGTTCATTCCTTTCATATATACACACCTGAGTTACAACTCCATTTAAAAACACCTTGCATGTACATAAAGGTAGTTACCAATAACAGGTCTATATTAACTTGATCAAATCTGACTAGACTGAGAAGAGGTTTGACTTGACTGAGAAGAAATTTTTAATATGATGCTTTGAAAGAAGTTTTCTCCCTTGAGAGGTATCTCTTATCACCCTATCATATTGTGCTTGTGTTCTGTTTTTGAATTCTTTTTATGTACTGCAAAGTGCACGCAATGGTAGGGGTGAGCAGGTGTTGGTACATCTTAATCTGGGGGCTATTGAGTAGTTGACTATTGCTTCCTAAACTAGATGGTAACCATTCAAATGCAAAAATAACATCTTCCTTATCTTTCATTTTCCTTAACATGTAGTAGAGCTTTGCTTTATAAAACCAGCTTTGGGAAATAACTAAGAGATTTGTTTAGACTTTCTGTGGCTGGTGGAGACAGCCAGGGGTCAGTCTTTCTAGATTGTTCATCTTGTCCAGGAATTTAGCAAGCTGTGGAATTTCTGAGCCATACGGTATTTTTTTTTTTTTTTTAAGATTTATTTATTTATTCATACAGAACTGGGGTACAGGCCAGAGGCTCAGGGGCGGTGAGAGGATTCACCAGAGACAGAGTGGGGAGCAGAATAGGCAGATCTACGAAGTACACTGCTGAGGGGAGCAGCGGGCGGGCCAGGAGAGGTCTGGCTCGCCATGTTGTCTCCTCCGGGGCAGGCGGCAGGCGGGAATCGAACCTATGCGGAAGTGGCTTCAGATTCTCAGTGCTGTGCTCTAACCCGCTGCGCCACAAGGGAGGGCCGCCATACGATATTTTTATTTTTAATTTTTTGAAGAACCTCTTTATACCAGTTTCCATAGTGACTACACCAATTACATTGCCACAAACAGGTTCTTTTTTCCTCCACATTGACACCAACATCTGCTATTTCTTGACTTTTTGATTGACATTCTAATGCATGTGAGGTGGTATCACATTGTGGGCTTAATTTTAATTTTTATGATGGTTAGTAATGTTGAACACTAATGTACCATTTACCATTCATATGTCTTGTCTGGTAGAATGTTCATAACCTCTGCCCTTTGTTTTTTTATGCGATTGTGTTGCATGAATTCCTTACATGTCTTGAGTATAACCCTATATATGATTTGCAAAATTTTTTCTTATTTGGTAGTTTTCATGATTTTGGTACTTTCTTTTGCTTGCTTGGTTAGTATATCTTCTGCAGACATCGTTGTCATAAATTCAGTTTAGCAAATAAAGGTATTTGAATCCTCGATCACCTTTGCTTTTTCCCCTTCAGTTTAGAGACTTTATTTTGTATTAGTAGCCACTGCTTTTAATTACAAGTGCCAATTGTCATGCTAATAAATTATCATGTAACTAATAAGTGATTTCACTAAAGAAATAAAATGAAATTAAAATAAATTAAGTACTGTAAAGGAAAGGGAAGAGCTTCAGATGTAGACTAAACGTATCAGTTCTCAGTGAGGCCTCTGTAGGTATGTTAACAATATTACTCAGACTAGGATTATGATGAAGTGATACATTTTGAAGTTGTATTTTAGATGTGCAAATTGGAATTACTAACCCAACTTCTGAATTTGTCTCTTTAACTTTGTTTTATGAACACTGTTTAATGTATCATTTGACCATTTGTATGTCTTGCCTGGAAAAATGTCTTTTTATTTCCTCTGCCCTTTGTTGTTTCAATGGGGTTGTTTGTTTTGCAGTTGAGTTTATGAAATTTTCTAAATGTGAATAAAGCAGTAAGTCCTTAAATCAACCTTTAAAAACTTAAAATTGGTTTGTATAGGACTCATGTGTTCCTGTGTACAGGTCTCTATCATCATCTGTATGTACTGTATTATGTACCTTACCAAGAATTTCCTTTTCTCTGCACCCTCCCCAACACTTGCAGTTTCTTGTCTTTTTGATAATAACCATTTAGCAGGTGTGAGGTGCTCTCTCTCTGTGATTTGGACTTGCATTTTTCTGATAATAAAGGATACTGAAAAATATCTTTATGTATCTGTTGGCCTGCTGTACGTCTTCTCTGAGCAAGTGTTCATCCAGATCCTCTCTGCCAACTTTCTAAAATCATTTTGTTTTGTTGTTGTGGAGTTTTGTGAAATCTTTATCAATTTTAGTTGTTAACTCCTCATCTGATACATGACGTGCAAATATATTTTCGTGTTCAGTAGGTTGCCTTAAAGCTTTCTTCTTAGAACCAGCGTAAGCAAATCAGTTTTATACATTCAGGTTTGCCAAGACAATTGACTTATTGAAGTACTTATTTTTAAATTTAAAATGTTATTTATTTATGCATACAAGAACTGGAATATAGGACAGAGATATGGGGTGAGAGGATTCACCAGAGTAAGAGTGGGGAACAGAACAGGCAGATCTACTGAAATACACTGCTGAGGGGAGCAATGGGTGAGACAGGAGAGGTCTGCCAGTCTGTGTGGGTCAGCTCCCGGTCTAGAGATTGAACTCATGCTTCAGTGGCTGCTGATAGCTTCACAGTGCTGTGCTTTAACTCATTGTGTCACTAGGGAGGGCCCTATTGAAGTACTTTGCAACTTTTTTTTTTGACTCAACATGTTACGTGATAGAATCATCTGTTTTTTTTTTTTTAAATAGAAAGTGAAATTTAAAAAGTGCTGCTCTGTTTCAGAAAAACTGTCAATTGCATTTTCTACTCTTTGCCTGTACTTGTTGGATTTTGAAATAAGTAATTATTAAGCTGACCTTCATTTAAAATTTTAAGTGAGTTCAGCTCAGGAAAAATGAAGGCCAATAATTTATTTTGTGAAGCATTTCTGTCATTGACTTTACAGAGAAGTAGCTGGCAGCTTTCGAAGTTTGCTTTTGTTTTAGGCTTGAACTTAAAGGCAAAAACATATATGTGCTTTCCCATTGAGGCAATAATTTATGACTTCTGTGGAAGCCCTCAGTGCTGTCTTTTTTTCTACTTGTTTCTACTGTAATATGTCACATGGTTATACCTAAAGGCTCTGATAAATCTTTAGACAGGAGAGGAGATTGAAGGTTTAGCAAGGTAGGAACTCTAGAATGAATCCTAATGGTAAAACTTGTTAACTCTGTGAATTAGCATATTTCCTTAAGTTTCAGCTGCCATGCCAGGTGGTGTGTTGAGTATCAGGCCATGGAGCTATTTCTCTGTTATTTAAGTTTTATTGTTTGCTATCTAAAGTTAATATTAAGGTTGCTCAATAGATGACCTGTCTAGGTTTGAATTGAGAAGCATGAACTCCTGAGAGCCTGATAGGAATGTAAAGTTAAAATTGGGTCAAAAAATTGGAGTGTGCATATAAGCTAAGTTTTACCCTTCACTTAAGTGCAAATTTGATCTGTCTCAGATCACCTCTGCAAATCTATTTGGCTTAATGATAAACAGCAGGGATGGTTGATAAATCTCCTGTATAGTCTGATCTATTTTGTGCTGTTAATCGAGTTATACTGCTCATGTGTCTGACTTGAGATGATGAGCAGTGCATGGAATTGTTTACTGTGCAGTCTAAGAATTAGAAAGCATTGTGAGGATGGGTATCTCGGTGGTGGTGATGATGTCCAGTCATCGTTTAAGTGAAAATAAAGACAGAGAACAGTGTCCATTATTTAAATGCATGTGCCTATGCTAAAAAAATACTCTTTAGCTTTATGTTTCCATTATAATTCATAGATACAATACTTTGCCGAGCAGAAGAACTCTGAAAAATTCGAGACTCGTGAGTAAGAAAGATGATGTACACGTCTGTATCATGTGTTTACGTGCCATCATGAACTATCAGGTATGTTTGGGTTTCTGATCCTTTAAAAAAAAATCTAAATTTGTCAGACAGAGATCTTGTTCTTTTTTTCTTTGTGGGTTTTTTTTTTTCTTTCCCATTTGAAGTAAATATCAGGATGTAATGAGATATTGGTGAAAAAGATCTGTTTCATTCTAATATTCAAAACTTAGTTAATTGTTCTCATATTTTAATTAGCATGTATAATTTACAAGGTAGTTAAAGATGTTTTCCTTTTAGAGTGATTAGTTTGTTTAGATTAGTTGTAAATCTTTGTGTTCACTAAAGGCAGAATAAGCTGATGGTTATGGGTAATGAAAGAATAACTTTAGAATACTAGGACCCTCACACTAATTACTGGCCTCAAAGCGTTATATGGTAAAGAGCAAAAAGTTAGTGCTACTGTCTGTTAGACTCAGTCATCCTGATCCAGAAGACACACCTGGAAAATTTTTGTTAAAAATTCAGTTTCCTCCTTGAGGTGATCGTGATACAGGTTATCTCTACTCTAAGACAAACACTGGGAGAGACAGTGTAGTGTGTGGTTTGGATTAACCATGAAAACAAAGTGGAAGTTAGAAATGAGTGTATATAGAGAGAGAGTGAACAGAGAGAGTTTAAAACTGTTGTAAGATAATCATAGCAGGGGTGAGAATTAGAAAAACATGATTCAGATAATTTTGTTGCTATGAATGCAACAATCTTAAGGAAGAGGTAAAGAAAAGCACAAAAGTCTTTGTAAGTTAATTGATGTTATGATGGGAGCCTTGGGAAGTGCAATTGGAGATAGTTAGGAGTTGAAAGTGAGTTGGGAGAAGGATTACTTCCTCAACTGAGCAGGACCTAGAATGATTCTTGGGCATGTTACTCACTGACTCTTTTTTTTTTAATCAAGGATGAGGTAATAAGCATCAGAGCAAAACAAGTTTTCTGGACTTTTGGTGCTTTAAAAAAACATTGTCCAGAGATGGGATTGGAGCAGTGATTGTCAACCCTGACTGTAAATTACTGACAATTTAAAAAATTGTCAGAAGTCATTCAGAATGGGTTTTTTTTTTTTTGGAAATTAAACATAAATTAACTTGGGGTGGGTCCTGAAGAACAGGGGTTTTTGTTTACTCTTGTAGGTGATTTAATTGGGCAGAAAAGATTGAAAGTCACTGGTTTGTGCGTCTTTACCATTTCAATAAACAGAAACATGGAGTTTTTTTTCATAAGGAATAGGAATGTGATCCCTTGATAATAGCATCACTCCTGAAAATTTTCATAGACAAATATGTTCAGACACTGATGTGCATTTATGATGATATGAATTATATTAGCTAGAACTTAAGGGTTTTTTTATTTGATAAACATTGCCAGTCCCCAAAGCTGACTACTAATGCTGTGCTTTTCCAAAATTAATTTCAGTATGGTTTCAACATGGTGATGTCTCACCCACATGCTGTTAATGAGATTGCCCTAAGTTTGAACAACAAAAACCCAAGGTAAGCTTGCTCTGTGATGCACAAGTCTATATCTAGAGAAAGCAGACAACTAGCCAACATTTTTTTTATCAGGTTATGTTATACATGTTAGTGTTCAGAAATTTTCAAGCGAGATTCTCTGAAATAAGATTGCCAATAGATTCCAGATTCCTTGGCTATGGAATTTTCTTTTCAGCTAAGTCACATTCTTACATGTGACAGAGTTGAGCCACTCTTGACAACTCTGGCCCTGCTTTACCAGTTTTTATTCCTTTAGAAACCTGGTTTTCAGCATCTTTGCAAATTTAACAATATTTGGTGGCAAACATTGTGGTTGTCAGGTTGTCAGTACTGGGGCTAGGAGAATCTTGCTACAGACTTGGGTACACCAGCTAATGATGGGAGCTAACGCAAACCACCCTTCCTTCACTGCAGCCTTTACATATTTAGCTTTTATTACCAAATGAAAACAATTTTATGCATATTTCTTCTATTCATTTCCCTATAAAGGCCAATGCCATATATTATTCAAAATATAGGTTGTCTTCTAAAAGTCTCTCCATCAGTTTATTTTAGTTCATATTTGCTTTCCATTTTAATCAGAATTCTGCTTCACAAATATACCATTCCCTTTCATCAGATATCTATGTATAGGCGACATATCTGAAGCAGTTAATTTAACTAAAAAAGTCTGATGATAAATCCTTTCTGATTCAGAGTGCAGTGCAAACTATTAAGTTCTATTTCATGTTGAATATTAGTATTCCAAACTTCCCGTGATTAGACCTTTAGTAAATTTAATACTTCCACAGTTTGTCAGAATCCCTGCTAGTCATGCTGCTGTGTCTTCCATGACAGGAGTGTCACTATTAAGACACTTAACGTTGTCGATTATCAGAATGCTCATTTTTTAGAGGTTGGCAATAATCTTTATTCCAGAAAAGGCATGAAAATCTAGTAATCTTAGGATGAAGAAAAATGCTATGCTGGACATTGTATTTGAAAACTTACACTGTATTTCTAGGTTCTCCATCTACAATGTTTCAAATCAAGTTTAATTTCTTGAGTTAGAGAAAATATAGTAGTACAGCATAGCCTGCCTCCTTTCAGCTCTCCAACATGGGACGGAAAAATGACAGAAACTTGCATTATCATTTGTAGATGAAGCCACCTGCAAATAAGCAGATTTGCGATGTAAAACTTCAATTCTAACTAAAACAGTTTTGAAATTTTCTGGCAAATAGCGTATTTCTTACTCTATTACCAGAGAAAATAATTGACCAGTGGTTTATTTTCCTGAATAATCCCAAATTTCTTACTGCTTTTGGCTCACCAGTAAAACTTGTTCAACCATATTGAACTCAGCCACATAATGTTTCGCTAGTGAGTAATTTGTGATCTGGGGAGTGGAAAACACGTCTTCCAGATTTGCTACTCTAGATAAATCATGTCAATAAAAGTAAAGTTTACAAATGTATTAACATAACTCTACCTTAGTTAACACAAATTTAAAAAGCATACACAACCAAGTACTGTATCTTACCATAATCGTTTTGGAAGGTTGGTTTAGCTGACTCATCTTGCCAAATTCACTGATTTGTATTTCTCTTCTTTCCTTCCTAACAGAACAAAAGCACTTGTCTTAGAACTGTTGGCAGCCGTTTGTCTTGTCAGAGGCGGGCATGAAATCATTCTGTCAGCATTTGATAACTTTAAGGAGGTAGGATACTCTAGTTTTAAAAAGAATGCTCATGCAAATATCTTGAGTTTGGACATCTTTGAATGGGATGCTTTGCCTTTTTATTTTTTCTAGAGCCTAACTGGTATGATATTCCATTTTCTGAGATAATTCAATTTTCTTTGAAATGCCTGCCTTTTTCTTTTTCTCCCACCTGTACATGAGTGAACCACTTCCATTCCCCCTTTCATACTGAAGAGTATGTTCTCTAATCTTTTCAGAGAAAACATCATTGGAATCTGCTGAGTTTGGGATTTGAGAGCCTGCTGTTCCCTGACTGGGAGAAACTGTCCTGTGTTCTCAGATGCCTGGGCGGATAGAGATTGGGCCCATGATTAATAGCTAGTGGGCTGCTCAGGGCAGAGGGGACCATATGAGGGAGTTAAGCCAAAGACAAGTCTTTATCCTCCACAAATTTGTTTTAAACTTTTTATTCCTGGTTACTAATTTAGGATTCTATTCATCTCCTTATGAAAGGCGATGGAATTATCTGTGTGCCTACTGGAAGGAGTAATGGCAGTGGTAGGACTCAATATCAGGCCCCCCCATCAGTATAAATTTTTAAAAATAGAGGGATATGCTTTAGACTAGTGAGACCCTTTGAGCTTACTGTTAGGGCACTGCCAATATACTGTTACAATGTGGTGCCAGTTGCTAAAAGGAAATTTAAAGACCACTTCTTAAGTAGGCAGCAGGGTTTTCTTCCTCTGCTTACTAAGCCAGCATAACCATTCTGTCCCTATTTGACAACCATGAATTAATTCAGATAAATTGAAGGGAGGCGTCTTTTAACTTTTGGTAGATCTTTTATGTGTGATACTTTCTTATATTCAAAATTTCTAATTTATGGCAAAGAATGTTGCTACATGTCTTAGAATGCTGCATGTCTTAGGAAAATAGGACACACTTTAAATTTAATGATAATCTGATGACAGGAAGAATATTAACGCAGGCTTTTTGATTTCAGTGGGTGAGAAGCTTGGAGCCTAATAATTGATACCACATATCAGTATGTGGTGGTCTATAAAGTAAATAAGCTTTAGTTGCACAAATTTGGGTGGTAAGCTTGAACCAAAAATTGTTAGTGACATCCTTGAAAATCTGAGTATGTTTTAGTAAACCATTGACAGTCAACCACTGTGTTTTTTTATTTTTTTCTCTTAAAAAATTTTTTTTTTTAAATAAAGGGAATTAACACATCTGGTTTTGTTGTTGAAATAGCTCCTCATGAAAATTTATGGTCCTGAAATAAGGATGAGGGTGAGAACAAGGCGTCATCTGTTTTTCCTTATTGGCTAATTTAGCTATGTGGAAAGACATATGTCCATCTTTCCTAAATTGATACTTTTTAGTTGCCTGGCAATATACATTTTTGAGCATTTAATCTGCCAGACACCCCTGAAAAAATTGAAAGTGAAAAATCACTCTTTTGGCATTTGCATTAGTTCAGAGTCTCATTTGCAAGAGGCAGAAACTGACTGTAACATATAGGGAGAAGGGTTGATTGGAAAGATGTCTAGAAATGCACAGAGTTGACAAGGAGCCTGGAGAGGCAGGTCTGGAAAATGGGCAGCTGTTCCAAAAATGTGGCTAGACTCTCAGACTTTTCCCTTGAAGCCTAGCCAGCATAAACACTATTTGGGGTTCTGGTCATGGTTTTTCTTCTCTTCCAAAGGATGTAGACCCATCTCCTGGGCTATAAAACTAGACTACTATTTAAAGGTATCTACAAATCTCCCAGTTCTGAACACTGTGTTTAGTTCAGATTTTCTTAGCAATCATGAAGTCGTCTTTTATCTAAACCTTGTTTTCCTAACTTTTCTTAAGTCTTTTTTTTCCCCCATTATATTCTTAGTTATATCTGTGGAATTGCCTTTTAAAAAAACGTGTCTAGAAGTCTGGCAAAAAAAAAAAAAAGTGTTCCTATTTGAAATCAAAGGAGAAAAGTACTGAGGCCCCACTGGCTGTACTGGTATTGCCTACTGCGACACTCTAATAAAATCGTCTGAGGCCTCTATGCTAGCAAATCCTGCTCCCACCCCTTTAGCCCCCACTGGGAGGTGCACCTGGAGTTCATCATGATTCCAGATAGATTATAACTCTATTTTCATCTACTTCTACAATGACTGCAATAACTATAACAAAACTGCCTGAGTTTGGTTATGAAAGTCCAGCACTTTCCCATTTGACTTACCCATGCAGATAGAGGGAGCTTTGTGAATGAGTCACTCAGGGCCTCCAGCCACCCTCCACACAGCCCTCTTGGCAGCAGCTGTTAGTTTTTTCACCTATAGCTAGAAGGCTTCCTAAGAAAACTGGTGTGGTTTAGCTACTGGGCATCTGAAGTCACTTGTGCTGCACATTATTAAGATGATTTAAGAAAGCCTGTCAGCTTTTATTTACAGTGGACCAAATTGGTCAGGAAGGAAAACAAACATCTTGGTGTGCTTCCAGCCTGTCTGTCAGTTTTATTACCTATAATCCAACCCAATCTCTCGAATAATTGAGGGGAGAAGATTAGAAATCCAGCACAAGAGCATCCTCATAGCTCCTTCACTGATAAATTATTTTAGTTTTACTTTTCAGTGAACCATAAGCAATATATTCTCTCAAATTTCAGAAAATAAAGGAAAAAATATTTCTTTTTGTAAAAAGGATTTTTTTTTTTAAAGATTTATTTACTTGTGCATACAGAACTGGGGTGCAGGCCAGAGGCTCAGGGGCCGTGAGAGGCTTCACCAGGACAGAGTGGGGAACAGAACAGGCAGATCGATGAAGTACACTGCTGAGGGGAGCAGCGGGCAGGTCAGGAGAGGTCTGCCACGCCATGTGGTCACCTCCGGGGCAGGCAGGGATCGAACTCATGTGGAAGCCGTTTTAGATTCTCAGTGCTGTGCTTTAACCCGCTGTGCCACCAGGGAGGGCCAAGGGTTTTTATTTTATTTATTTATGCATACAAGAACTGGGGGGTGTAGGCCAGAGTTGCAGGGGTTGAGAGGACTCACCACAGACAAGAGTGAGGAGTTAAACAGGTAGATCTACTGAAATACATTGCTGAGGGGAGCAGCAGGTGAGAAAGGAGAGGTCTGCCATACCATGTGGGTCAGCTGCCTGGCTGTGGATCAAACTCATGCCACAGTGGCTGACAGTAGCTTCATAGCACTGAGACTAACTCCTGTGCCACCAGGGAGCCCTGGAAACTGTATTTCTAAAGCATGGATGTTTCATTTTACCAGGCCAGAATTAAATTAATTCACTAGGACTTTTCTGTCCAGTTCATTTTCCCAGGACAGTAAGCAAAATCACAGTAACTTAATATTAATTGTCTACCATTGCAATTATTGCTTATATATAATAAATTACCCCAAGCTTTGTGCTATTAATCTCAATGATTCTGTGGGTCAAGAGTCAGATTAGTCATGGCAGAACTGATGGTCTTTGTTCTGTTAGTTCTAAGGACTCATCAGGAAAGTTCCAGTTGAATAGGATTAGTAATTTATCTGGAAGCTCCTTCACTCATTTATCTAAACACTTGGTACTGATGACTCAAACACAGAATTCAGAGGAGTCTGTTGACCGGCATGTGTCCATGAGTGCCTGGAGCCTCATAGCACGACAGCTGGCTTCCAAGAGGGAGTGTTGGGAAAAAGCATCTGGAGAACAGGCAGTCAAAGAGAAGTCTTACTGGGTTCTTCTGAGCATGTTCAGAAGTCATCAGTGTTATTGTTGGTTCCAAGTGAGTTCCTATGATCAACCCAGGTGTAGTGGGGACAGTGATGACTTCCCTCCTGATGATGGAGTGTGAGGGTCATAGCGTACAAGAACATGTGGGGTGGAAGAGACTGCTGCTGTCAGTTCTCTTCACTAGCCCAGTGTTTTTCTCCTCAGGACTGAAAGCTTTATAAACTTTTGCATTGGTGATAGGGCTTATGCTTCTTCTGTCAAGCCATTGTATTATAGGTTTATATTTTGAGAGCTTTTCTAGAGGAGAGAGAAGCCATTTACATAGAATTTCCTCAGCCCCCTGTTAATACACTCTATTTCTTTATAATCTGTCTTTCGTGTCTCTTGGGGAAGTAAAACCTGTTTTGCTCATCATTAGGATGAGTCACGCTAACTCCACAAGAGGAAATCTTCATGATTACCTGCACTGTGTCAGAAACTCGTAAACTCCAAAAATTTAAAAAAAAAAAATCAAGGAGTAGATCTAGCTATAAAAAGGAATCTCATCTGGTTGAGAAAGCAGATAAATATTTTAATAATTATAGTAGTGGGTTTTACAATGGTTCATGTAGTGTGCTCTGCAAGGACGAGGAACCAAAACAATCTGGAAGAGCAGAACAGATGGGTTGCGGCCTGTCAGGGGAGGCTTCCTGTAGGAAAGGGCTCCTGGTCCTAGTGTTGATAGATTAACTAGGTGTATTGTTTCTTATTACTGCAGTAACAAATTGTCACAAACTTAACGACTTAAGGCAATACAGAGTTATTTATCAAAATTCTGTACTTCAGAGGTGTAAGAAGGGGTCCATAAAGTGGTATTATGGAGAATCCATTTTCTTACCTGTTTCATTTCTTAGAAATAGTTTACTTTCCTGGGCTTATGTCTCCTTCCTCCAAATTCAGAGTCAGAAACATAGTATATTCTCTCTCTAAATCCTCTCCCCTTCCCTCCTCATCCTTCTCTGCCTCACCCCTACCCTCCTCACTCGTACTCCTATGTAGACACAATCCCACATTTTTCTCTCTGACTCTGATCACCAGGCTTCCTCTTAATAGCTTTTGATTGCTTTGAGCCCACCCAGGCAACACAGGAATCTCCCCGTTGGCCCCTTAACTGAACCATAGGGATTGCAGAATCCTTTTAACCAACCATGTAAGGTAAATATTATGGGTAGTAGGGATTAGGACATGGGCATCTTTTTGGGGGGGTCATTATTCAGACCACCAGGTAAAGCAATGAGGATATTATTTTATACAAAGTC